CATGGACGGTAGGTTTCCTACAAAGTTAACCCCGACGCCCCCGGCTCAGCCCCCATTAAGTTTTCATATCAAATTAGCGTGTTAATAAAAATAAACGATCATGGCTTATACTCTGCATATACAAACAGAATCATGAAAGCCTGTGGGTAGAGTCAGGCCGCCCGCGACGACACGAGTCAGTTTGAGTGTGTGCGCCTGGGTCTGAACGCCCACTCACTGGCTAGCTTTGTAGCTAACTGTTAGGCTACTTAGCTTTGCATTGGTTATGGATCTAAAGGTAGCAAAACTAACTTCATAGCACGAAGCTTCTCTTCTCACTTACCACAATAAAGAAACAGACCGTAATAGTACAGGCACAAACAACACAAATGATCATACGTTACATAATTTTCACTTGTAGTATTATTAAAATTGAAATGCTGTTCTCTCTGCGTGTTCCTACACGCTCAGGCAGCGCCTCACTGTACAATCGCTGGAGGACGGGCTGTCCACTCAAAAACTGAGTAGCCAATGGCGGAGCGCACACTGAAACTCCCGCCCACCTGAGAGTTGGTGTCAGAATCTCAAACAAAAAAGAGGGACGCAAAAGAGAAAGCTGCAGCGAGAGCAAAAGTCTATCATTGAGAAAAAGAAACAAGAACTGCAAACAAACTGTGTTAAAAACAAAGAAAAAATATTAATACTATAGTTTACTGATTACACAAATGATTTGTTTGCCAATTTATAGTTTATTTTTGAAATTTATTTATTTGGCTGACTCAGTTTTTTTTCTTTAACTCATTATTTTGCTTTATTGCTGAGAAGTGTTGCTTTTCTTTATGATACAAAACTTAATCCATACTTTGTACCATAGACATACCAAAAACACGGACAAAGGTGGGCCACTCTTTCCTTATCATAGACGATCTACAGTGATAAGGCGTCAGTTCATTCGCGTTTATTAGAAGGAAAAGTCAAAATCAAACGATTCAAAATAAAAGGGCGCATTGTTCAGATAACTTGCTCTTTAAAGGCTAATTATCATAGTATTGGATGTTCTTTGTGTCTACATGTAAGCAGCACTTATTGTTGTAGCCGGTCAAGTGCAGCCCAATTAAACAATTAAATATGTTAAGGTCATTACCATTGTATTATAATGAATGACCTCATTATAGTTCCCAATATGCAAAGTAAACTACGACAACAGCTGTATGGTAGTAAAAAAAAAAGAATGTTCCATCTGAAATTTCAAGCATATTGTAGCAGGGAAGCCAGTAAGCACCTCAACATTAATAATAACAATATAATAATAGCGTAGATTTACTAGCGCCTTTCATGGGACCCAAGGTCGCTTTACAAGGAAGAACAGGGCAAAACAAACATAACAAAACAAAAGGCAATCAGACAACCAGTCAGACAGACAAAAACAACAAAAAGATTAGGGGGCAAAGGCCTTGGTGAACAGATGGGTCTTGAGGGCCCTTTTGAAGGCGTCAAGGGATGTTGCGGATCTCCGCAGGGAGAGCGTTCCAGAGGGTGGGGATTGCCACGCTGAAGGCTCTGTCCCCGAAGGTTCGCAGTTTGGTGCGGGGGGTGGTAAGCAGGCCAGAGTCGGAAGACCGCAGGTTCCGGGGTGGGGCATGTGGGTGAAGGATGTCCGATAGGTACTGGGGGGCATGGGCATGGAGGGACTTGTAGGTAAGGAGGAGGACTTTGTAGGAGATGCGGGACTTGACCGGCAACCAGTGGAGGTGGATGAGGGTGGGAGTGATGTGCTGCCACGGCTTTGTATGTGTGAGTACCCTAGCAGCACAGTTTTGGACATACTGGACCCTGTCCAGG